ATGATTCTGGACTCCATTTCCTGAATGAGTGGGACTGAAACAGAGCAGAATTACTGTGCTGGCTCCTTTCTAGGCATCACGGCAGGCGCAGCAAGGACCGGCTGCCGCGTGTGCTCGGAAGACAGGCTGCTTTGAAAACAGAACCGACTGCCAGAACACAAGAGCTCATCTGGGGCAGAAACACACACGCTAAGGACAGCTAAGCTAGGTCCCGTGAGATACGATTAAAACCAAAACATCCTTTCTGGCAATCTGTTCAATTTGTGGCATGTTGGAAAAGTCAATAGTGTGAGAAAAGGTGATTTCTTCAAAGGATCTTTGAATTAAATGAAACTGATAAAAACCCAAGAATCCTATACAAAGATATAGATGGACTACATTTGTTCAACTCTGGGAACTGATGAAAGTGTAAGCGAGCCATAAAATCACATACAATTATGACTTGGAACTAAAGAGACCAGAGAATACCTGCTTCCTGGAGTAAATGAGTCCTGTACCCGGGTGTGTACAGCCTAAACGCACCTGCCCCGCAGCGAGCGGGACTGCAGCTTAGGATCTCTGCAGCAGCACTGGCTTGGATTTAACCCAGCCGTTTTCTTATACAAATCAAACCAAAAGGATTTCACAATACATGGATGTGCATGTCTGTGTCTCCCTACATACACGGAGAATTGATTTGTTGAATTTAATTTCAATTTTATTCTTTGAAGCTGGGGATCAAAGCCAGAGCCAAGCCACTTCTCAGCTCCTACATTACTATTATTTTTTACTTTTATGTATTTGGTACAGGGTCTCACTACTCAGCTTGGACTCAGTGATCCTCCTGTCTCAGCCTTCCCAGTGCTGGGATTACAGGTGTGCACCACCATGCCAAGTTTGGGCATGCCTGGGGCGGGGCCCACCTGGCATGTGGTACTGGGGTTGAACCTGGGTCCTTGCACTTGCCTAGGTGGGCGCTTGGTCCGCTGAGTTATCTCTGCTGCTCACATTATCTTTTTAATTGATATACTAAGTTTTGTCTCTAGGAACTGATGAGTTTGATGAAAAAGAGACAGCTTAAAAAAATATTTGTGTAATATATTTTCAGAGAATACAGATGTTACAAAAAGCTGATGCTGTAAAATCTGCAACATCCAAGAGCCTGAAGAGAATCAAGCAACATGCATACTTAAAACAATACTTCTCTAAAAAAAAGTCAAGTATTAAAGAAAAACCTAACTATTTCTCCTTTCCTAACCTTGTAACGCCACCCTAAGAAATGGAATAATTTAAAGACCACACACATTGACTTCAAGGTGAGCATACAGTTACAACAGAAGTGTTTCCAGGATCACCTGTGTAATACACCAGCTCCTCCCAGCCGTGCTTGTGCCAGGCTGCGTTCCGTGTATCTTCCCGGCTCTGCAGATCCTTGTAAGCTTAAGAAGAAGCACAGAGAGGAAGCAGGATTCAAACCCAACCCAGCAGTACCACCTGGCTGCCCTCTTTCCTCAGACTTGGTCTGGCCCTGAGTCCAGAGCCATTCACACGAGGACCCGTTATCCCGTGTAAGGCCTGGGACCATCTGCTCCTCACACTTCAGTCTAGTGAGTCCTGAATATGCTGACAGCAAGAGGCCTTTTCAGACCAGATTGAGTGTGTTCAGTGAGGTGCAGCCAGGAGGAGCAAAGAAACTTTTCTTTGAGACAGGGTCTCACTATGCAGTTGAGGCTGGTCTTGAATTCACTGTGTAGTTTATTCTTGCCTGGAACTCACAGCAATTTTCCTGCCTCAGCCTCCTAGTGCTGGCACTACAGGTGTGCACCACCAGGCCCAACAAGAGAACTTTTCAAAAACATGTCGAATTCATAACTAGAACCTGCCAGGCCACTGATAACAACATCACTTTCACTTTTGCTCAACATGGGCAGGGGGTATCTTGATGCAATGCAACGGTGGGACAGTGTGGGCTCAGCATGCATGAGGGCCTGGGTTTGTCCCTAGCACTGAGAAGTAAAGGCAAATAAAGTTTTGCTCAATACTGATAAAGCCCTGCGTCCATGTGGGAAGACTGTTCAACGTAGTGGAGAAGAGACAAGAAAGGCTAGGTTGGCCCCACTGAGGGCTGTGGCCAGGAAGGAGACCTGTGGGCTATCTGAAAGGTGGGATGCAAGAAGGGGAGTCTTGAAGACTGAAAGGAACTGCAATGACCTGGAAAGACAAACTCTCAGGCATGGGACAAACGGGTGTCTCAGACCACAGCTCCACACACACCTTGCTAGTACAGCCAGGTTCCCCGTTCTCACTTTGCGGGAGACCTTGCCTACACTGCCAGGTGAGAGCCCGCATGGGACAGACAGCGCGACAGTGCAGAGCCATCCTTCCTTAGTCCGGCTTCTGCTGGGGACAGGCGCCTTCGCCCCGAGAAGCCCTGGCCTTCAGGCCTCTGACCTTGCCCATCCCCCACCGCAAGCTCCTTCTGTGGTCTCTACACAGGTTGGGCAGGCTCTTTACAGTGTTCTGCATTAAAAAGCGTTTTAGAGGTGAGGAGTACACCCTGTTGGTAGAGTATTTGGTGAGGCCCTAGGTTCAATCCATTGACTGGAAAAAATAAAGGTTTTATGATTGTAAAATAACCCCTTGGTAGTTGGTTTATCTCACTTAGAATCTCCTCAGGTCCGCCCATATTAGGAATTGTGACGACTCTGATTCCATCTTCTGGCGGATGAATGTCTGCCTGTGTCTTCCACATCTGATGTATCCCCACCTCCTCTTTATGTGACTAGGGTTGGGACACTTCTGTACAATGGCACTGAGCATCCAGACAGGTGCTGGCCAAAGTCTGAAATAGTAACACAGCACTCTGGCCTACCTCAACCCCCTTAGGGACAAACGACATGCAGTATAATGTCAAAACAGAAACGCAGACCAGATTTGTTTCTAAATCTGTTCATCTGAAAACTGATACACACGGGATCAAATCTCAGCCACAAGACTCAACTCTGTTGGCCACTGCCATCTGGCGGCCTCTACTGCACGCTGAGGGGCGAAGACCCACATGCAGCGGGCTGGGCTCTGTCCCTGCAGGAAGCAGCTATTCCGGGGGTTAGGATGGGGTGGATTCTTCCTCATATTCTTAAAGAGCACGGGACCCCAGGAGCACAGTGCAAGTTATTTTCTTTTTGCCTTAACTTACCCATTCAGACCATGTCCTACCATGTAGCAGCCTGCACTGTTCGCGGTAACCTGAGTAATTTTTATTTCCTGCGTCTCCACTGAGGGTCCAGCCTGCCCTCCTACCCGTACCTGTTGGTCCTCTAGGTCCAAGTCCAGCTTACCTCCCCACACTGACTGTATAATTCTACATCCTCTGCATCTCTAGAGGGGCGTCTTGCCAATCACACACCACCTCTGTCATAGTCACTCATGCTGGCATTGTCCTCAGTAGATCTTTGTTCCCTTTGTAAACCAACACAATCACACAGGCAGGGACCCAATACTAACTCTCAGGGCTAGCTGACAGGCTATGACGTGAGTTATACTTTAACTTCAATATCAGTAACTCTTTTATTAATGTGCCCAGAATACACTAGTGGCATTATTCCAAACTACCTACCACTGAGGCAGCTGAGTTTATGCTCTAGCAAGAAGAGAAACACCAACAGCCATCAGTGTGACCACCATCCTAGGAAGGGCCCTGGGCGCTCGGAGGAGGGCGGGATCCGCTGGGGCTGGGCTTCGGTCTGAACCAGGCCTTGAAGACACCAGAAGAGATGCCCGACACAAGGTTGGCAGGGGAGCTGCTGGTCTGGCTAGAGCACAGCATGGACCCTGAGCCACAGCAGGCCGACCGGGGAGGGAGCTCTGCACCTGTATCATCCTCCCCTTCCTGTGGCTGCTGGCTTCAGCTCTTCTCCCTTTTGCCATTGCACCCTTTCATTACTAGGTCACACATAACGGATCTATGTGCTCTTTGTTGTTGATCTCTTCAGCTGTATTTTTCTGGAGACAGGGTCTTGTGAGGTAGTTCAGGCTAGCCTCAGATTTGAAGTGATCCTCCTGCCTCAGCCTCCTGACTACTGGGTTTGCAGATGGGCACCACCATGCAGGGTTTCTTCAGTTTTAGATGCCAAACATTTGCCACCCTCCTGTGATGTTTGGATTTGCTAAAGTGTGCAATTACCAGCTTGAGAACTGCTTTAAAGCCTGATGATTTAGTTTGCAGTGAGCTCTTACATCCTAGTGACTTGCTGAGTGAGGTGGCGCATGCCTAGAATCCAAGCCCTCAGGCAGGCTGGAGCAGGAGAGCTGCAAGTCTGAGTAACCAAGATTCTGCCTAGGGAAAAAAAATTAAAATAAAATGATAGCAAAAACATACATACCCCAAAGATGATGCACCATGTATAGCTGCCCAATCTGAGAGAAGAATCCTCCCACTGCTTCGTTATTGTCTTGTCTAAAACGAATTGCACGGGCCCTGGAAGAGAAACAACACATAATAGACAATGGTCAGGAAGGATCGGTAGACTGCATTCTCCAGGCTCGGGGCCAGACTTCATAATGAAGACTGTCTTTGAGCTAACTAAGGTGGAAGAGAGATTCTATAATCTCTTAGGCCAAATACAAGGAAGAGCCATGGGGTGGGGCTTCTCGGTCACACACCCTATCCTCACATGAAACTACCTGTTGAGTGTTTTGAGACAGGGTCTCGCTATGCAGTTCAGGCTGGCCTTGAGCTCCCTGTGTAGCCCAGGTTGGTCTTGAACTTGCACCAATCCTCTGGCCTCAGCCTTCTGAGTGCTGGTGAAGAGCACTGGATTTGGAAAAAAAGAGTAGCAGAGGGCACTCATTATATACACATGAGACACATAGATGAAAGTGCACATGTGCATTCTATATATACAATAAAAAATTGTACTAAATTGGTTAAAAATGGGTGCTCCAAACTTCCTAAGATTTCCCTCTGCCAAAAAGTATTGGCTTTTTTTTTTTTTTTTTTTGTCTTTTTGAGACACAGTCTCACTATGCAGTTCAGGGTGGTCTTGAGCTTACTTTGTAGCCCAGGCTGGCCCCAAACTTGCCACAATTCTCCTGCCTCAACCTCCCAAGTGCTGGGATTATGGGCATGTACCACCATGCCTGGCCCAAGGTATTGGCTTTTTAACATAAATACTATCTTTCATACTTGCATGGGACATTTTATTTTTACTTTTAGTGATATAATCTATATTCTTTTTAAAAAATTTTTTAAAAAAATCTTTTATTTATTTAGTACACAGTCTTGCGACACAGCTTGGACTCAGTGATCCTTCTGTGTCAGCTTCCCCAGCACTGAGATTTCAGGCATGCACAACCAAACCCACTTTCAGGGCTGGCATGGTATATGGTACTGGGGATTGGACCCAGGTCCTTGTGCTTGCCAGGCAGGCACTTAGACCGCCAAGCTATCTCTCCAGCCCTAATCTATATTCTTAAAAAATGTATTTTTCCAAAAGCAATTTTTGCAAATCCCAGTTGGACACAAAGGAAGCAGCACCAGATAATATGGAGAACCCCCCCCCCCCGAGAAGCAAGGTGGGGTCTATCAGGTGCCACACCCTGGGGCACCCCGGGGAATCTGTTGCAACAATGCTGAGTTGGCACCACATCCAGGTCCTGGCCTTGACAGCATGTGGGAAGACATCACTGTCACTGTCACAGGAATGTGAACGGCAGGCTGCCTGATCCACAGCATCACAACAGCAGCTGCTGAGCCAGGAGACCGCCGGGAGGGCCAGGGCCAGGGTCCTCGGACCACTCAGCAACCTCCGCTCTCCTCCACCCACCGGGCTCAACGCCACACCCAAGTCCTGGCCCTGGCTCCCTACTCCGGTCTGCTGGAGGAGAGGTGCCTGCTGGGGCCCCATGGATTATTCAGAAATGACAGTAAATACTTCAGCTTTTACATTTGGAGTTAATAACCAGCATTTTCTCAAAAATTATGATTGTTAAATTATGGAAATTAAGCAAATCAATTTCACATGCATTCTGTGCTCAGCAGAAGACTTTATCATTGAAAGTGATAAATATTTTGGTTTATTTGTTTCATTCTGAATTTTTCTAATTTAGTCACAGGAGGCAAACAAAACATACTTGCCGTGGCCTGGGGAAAACCAGAGGCGTGAACTGTGAAGCACTCATCGTCCTCTAGTTACCTACGTGTCAAAGCACACATGGAATGCTGAACGGGCTCTCCAGAACCCCAGCTGAACAACCTCAACACAGCCTTGTGGACTCCCTGGGGAGTAAATCTGATTTGGCAATATGTAAAAATTCAATCACTGGATTACAACTCCATCCTGGGAACATCTAGACACTGTTAACAGTTATAGGCCAGAAACAAAGGCACAAAAACATAAGCAAAACCCCTTGACAAGCCGTGTCCCTAAGAGCAGGACACAATATGTGTTTTCCAATCAATAGAAACCACTATTGTGTGACAGCTATCCCTTGTTCAGGGACTATTTGGACTTAGGACCGATCTGTTTTTGGTTACAGTTCTCTTTATCCTGTTCACAGAGCCTCAATGCCCTTTTTTTTTTTTTTTTTTGTACACACCTTGTTTACATGGTACTGTAATTTTTGCTGATTATACCCTAGAGCACTGTAGTTTTATGTTCTGACCTACATTACAGTACTGCATGGAAGAGTTACAAAAATAAAAGCAAAATCAAGTTGGAGTTTCCTTTCTTGTGAATACTGTACATACTATTTGCAACTTCTTCATTAGTCATTGATTCGTTTAGCAGCCTAGCTGCAGGACTGTAAATGTCATTAAATGAGGATCCTCTGTACTTGGTCTTTGGGGACCCAAGAAAACAGTCACTAGAAATAAAGATCACAGAACCATTTGCTGGAACTGGAGAGAGCTCAGACATTATTAAACCCAAAGCAAGATATTTTATAACCAAAAAGGAGATCAAAGGGCCAGAGAGCTAGCTCAGTGGACTAAGTGCCTGTTTAGGCAAGTGCAGGGACTGGGGTTAGATCCCCGGTACCACATGAGCTCTGGCCCTGCTCCAGTGAGATGGTCACCAAGACCGGGAGTGGCGGCACATGCCTGTGATCCCAGCTCTGGGGAGGCTGAAAACAAGAGGATCACTGTGAATCAGAGATGCAGACCAAATACATTAAAAAAAAAAAAAAAGGAGAACAGATGTGAGCTGAAAGTCAAAGTCTCAAAGTGACCTCCACCCAATGTCCTGCCTGGAAGGAACATGCTGAAAATGTTACCTTAGGAAAGAGAAGTACTGAGATTCTGAGGAAATCTGAGTTAATTTTTTTTTTTTTTTATTTAGTACAGGGTCTACAGGTCTCACTATACAGATTGGACTTGTGGTGATCCTCCTGTTTTCAGCTGCCCAAGAATTGGGATTACAGGCGCACTACCATGTCCAGTCTCAACGTGCCCCAGGGGTGGAGCTGGCACAGCGAACCAGGAGATCAAACCTGTTCCCTGCATCTGGCTAAGTAGGTGCTTTAATCCCCTGAGCTATCTGGCTGGCCCAAGTTAATTTAAAAGACATAATTCAAAAGTATATGGAGGGGGGGCCGGGAGATAGCTCAGTAGAATAAGTACTTGCCTGGCAAATGTAAGGTCCTGAATTCAATCCCTGGCACCACAAAAAAAGTATATGGAGGGCCGGCAAGATAGCTCAGTGATCTAAAGCGCCTGCTTGGGCAACCTTAGGCAAGTACGCTGGGACCATGGTTCAATTCCCGGTAACAACATGCTGCGCCAGCCACGCGCCCAGTGAGCTGGCCAGAAAAAAAAGTATATGGAGATTCCCTTCCAAGAATTAAAAAAAAAAGGAGAAAAAAAATTAAGGGGTAAATGTATTTATCTAAGATTTCAAGAAAAAAAATGCTCAAGATCTTTTGTTGAATAGATATACTTTTGTGTTTACTTCAACTTTTTAAAGGAAACTTCTAACATCTCAAAATCAAATATACTTTTGACTATAAAGAAATGCTGTATTATAAAAAGTTGGGAGACAAAAGAAAACACCAACAGTTCAACTACCATGAAAGTTTCAATGTCCTTTTCATTTCTATTCCCAGACACTGACTTCAGCTAACAATGACTAATCTGTTTGCATCCTTCTTAATACTGAGCCTTTATGTGATTATATATGTTTATTATTTTTTATACTTCTCTCATTTACAGTATTATACTAATGGAGAAAGCTGCATTTTTGTTATTAATGGTAATGGTACTTACTGTATTTTCCTATTAAATTTAACCCAGTACACACAGATAGGTCCCACTACTGTTAAAATGATCATACTACGAAGGCAATCTACAGACCACTGCCATCCCATGAAAACACCAATGACATTCTCCACAGAACTGGAAAAAAAATATCCTAACCTTCCTTAGAGCAACAGAATAGAGAACTGTGAAATAAAAGCATACAGCTATGGCCATCCAATTCTTTTATTTGCTGAAGCACTGGAGTCCAAGTTACTGCCAGTGCCAAAATCTTGAAGTGTTTTCCCTATTTTTTCTGTAGTGATTTCAGCTTCAGGCCTTATATTAAAATTTTGACCTACTGTGAGTTGATTACTGTATAAGATGAAAAAAAAATCTAGCCAGGAGTGCTGGTGTGCACCCATAATCCTAGCATTGGGGGGAGGGTTGTGCAGGGCGGCAGGGGGCTGAGGCAGGAGGACTGCTGCGAGTTCAAGGCCTGGAGCATCCTGTCTCAAAAAAAACAGCAAAGAAAAAGAAAAAGCTTTTCATAGTAGGAAATCATTACCAGAGTTAAGACCAGAATGGCTGAAAAAAGGCGGCGACCTGGCGCGGCGGTCTCGGCGCCGGGCTGCGGAGCGTGAGGTCGCCGGTTCACGACCCCGTCCCGACTCTTTCCCTTGGGGCCGGGGTGATGGCTCAGTAGGATAAGCGCTTGACTGGCAAACGCAAGGATCTGAGTTCAATCCCCGGTTCCACAAAAAAAAAAAAAAAAAAAAAAAAAAAAAGAATGGTTGAAAAAGTCTTTGCCAGCAATTTATTTGACAGAGGACATACCAGAATGTACAGAGAACTTAACAAAGCAAAACAAAACACTAAAAGAACAAGCAATTCTATCAATAAATGGGCAAATGACTTCAACAGTCACTTCTCCACAAAAGTACAAATGGCCAATAGGTATATGAAAAATGTTCAACATCTATACCAGAGAAATTCAAAACTACATTTAGATTTCATCTTACCAGTCAGAACAGCTATTTAAAAAAAAAGCAATTGGACAAGGGGGGAAAAAAAAAGGCAAAGTAATCATCACCATGAAGAACTCCACCAAATATTGGCAAGAATACAGGAGAAAACAGAAGCCTTCAGACACTGTGGGTGGAAATACAAATTAGAATAGCTTGTGGAAATCAGTATGAAGGTGCCTCAGAAAATCAAAAATAGAAACACCCTAGGACCCTCACATA